GATTTGAAGTTATGAACTTCAAAATGTCCTGGTAGAAAGTCTACCAGGTCCTACTGAGCTAGTTTTTGGATGGCATTCATGATTGAAAGGCCGGATTCATGATTGAATCACCTCAATGGCCCTGTACCATTTTTGTTTTGTTTTGAGGGGGCCCGGGAATCTATTCGGCCATTCGGCAGTCATTTTTAAAAAACTAGCTCAGTAGAACCTGGTACATGATGTACGAGCAAAAGTTCATAACTTCAAATTGAAGTTAAGAACTTGAAATTTACTTTTTGCTCTCTTTTGCGACCGTATTCAATTGTTACGAAACGCGTAATAACGGGAATCACCCAATGAATCGATCAATTTTTCTTGAGATTCTTGAGATTCTTGAGATACAAGAAGATGATCACACTACCGTAGGGTACGATACCGTGTACTGTTAGTACGTACCGGTACGAGTACTGTATTAGTCGTTCCATCACCTGACGATGACGTTTGGAATAATACGTACCGTCTTACAGTACCGGTACAGTAAGAAGCAAAACTCATGCCGACGTCGACCTCGTCTCAATTGAACATCATCAGCACAGTATTGTAACGTACCATTACGAACTCGTCTACTGTAGATTCTTGATTCTCAATTCCATCTACTGTTGTATCCTGCTCCTACGTGTTTTATGGCGTCACATCGCACTCGCACCGGACGAAGATCCAAGAATCATTATTTTTTTATGTCATTCGAAACTGAAGTCCTACTGCCCACACGTTGTTTTTCGCGTTACATCCATTACGACAGAAATCTATTGACAAATCCGACGATCGTAGACATACTATCTCGACAGGCTCTCATTCACAGAATTTCTTTTGAACTTCCGAACAGAAAAGAGGAAAATGGAGCTCACTCCTTCTATCACTGGTCCGGTCGATGGATTCATTGACTTTATCTATTCATTTGGACCTCTGGCCGAAAAAACTGTGGTTTTGGGTATGTCAATTCACGACGAATACGGATGGAGTTGTTGCGTGATGTCTGCATTTGAATGGGTAGGGCCGTTTGAAATAATTGAAAACTAATCTTCAGCTTGGATCTCCACTTTTTAATTCTTAAATTTTTCCACGGTTGCTCAGTTCCAGATTTTATCAAGGCTCAGGTGGGCGGCGTTGCAGACGCAGCTGGCATGGACATTGAAACTGTTTCTTATGTGCTGGGTATGTTTTTGTGCTACCCTCTCGGTATGCTGATGGCTCAGATTCCATTTGGTACTTCGAGACATATCTTTTCATTTCTCCTTGGAGCCTTTCTTCTTCAATTCACTCTAGGAGTTCAATGGATCCATCACTTGATTAGTTCCTTGATCGCATACGGCCTAATCTTGGTCTTGCCGCGAAAGACTCTGAAGACGGCTTTGCCTGTTTTTGCCATGACCTACATGACATTGGGTCACCTTCACAGACAGTACATCAACTATCTCGGATGGGACTTGGATTTCACCGGTACGCAAATGGTTTTAACACAGAAATTGTATATGATCGGATATAACCTCTACGACGGCGAACTTTTGGCAAAGGGGAAGGAGGACCGAGCTGCTAAGAAGTGTGCTCCTTTTGCTTTGAAGAACACGCCCAGCTTGATTGAGTTTCTCGGCTACACGTTTTGTTTCGCGAACTTGCTTGCAGGTCCTGCCACTGAATACGCTACCTACTTGCATGCAGTCGATGGTAGCATTTTCAAGACACCTGATGGAAAAACAAAGCTCCCAAGCAATATTTTGCCCACACTGAAGCCCTTCCTTACTTGCCTCCTGAATCTTGGAATTTTCTTGACACTTAGTGCCAAGTTCCCGTTGCTCGACACCTCTGATCCGCAACACAACACCCCCTACATCTTGACCGAGGAATTTCTCAAGAAACCTATTTTCTACCGTTATTTCCATACCTGGATGGGATTGTTCGCTCTTCGCCAGAAATACTATTTCGGATGGAAGAACGCTGAAGGCGCTCAAAATATTTGGTATGCAGGATTTGATGGTTACGACGAAAAGGGAAACGAAAAGGGATGGGAAACCTCCAACAACATAGATATCATCACTTTTGAGACTGCTCCAGGTGTCTCCATCATGTCGAGGGTTTGGAACAAGAAGACATCATTGTGGTTGTCGAGATATGTGTACATGCGAACAGGCGGAAATCTTATTGCTGTCTATTCCATGAGTGCATTCTGGCATGGATTTTATCCAGGTTACTACTTATTTTTCCTCTCGGTGCCCATTCCTTCGTTTTGCGAGCGATTGGCCAAGAAGAAATTGTCACCCTACTTTTCGCCGAATTATTTCTCGCCTTACGGTATCGTATGTGTACTGGTTACAAGCATCACCATGAACTACCTGATTGTGTCCTTCACTATGCTTGCGAGTGGTTGGTCGTTCGCTGCGTACAAGAGCTTTTACTATTTTGGACACATCGGGTGTGTAGCGTTTTATATTATTCTTACGATGCTTCCGTCTCCAAAGAAGGAAAAGAAAAAAGAGGCTTAGAATATGGCAGCATTGTCAACCGAGCAGTACTCACAGGTAACAAGTATCAAGATACTGATTAACGAATCAATGACTTTTCTCTTTGGGTACCTCGTTAGTGCATGTGCAGAGGTCGGATCATTGTGGTCATTTTATGCTCCAAATGAATATTGAACGTGCGACTGAGATTGACTATAATATGTATTGACGAACGTTATCTAAAGCCTTCGACGCAATACAGCGACGATTTCACTATGATCTGGTTGTCTGAAGGGCTCTTCTTGACAACGTACAACAATCTGGAAACTATTTTGTTTAATCGACTTGTGTCACTATCGTTCCCGCTTACATGAGTAAGAGCTGTCAAATCCGTACTCAGCCCGGAGCTGGTATGATAGAGTAGGAGCAGCCGCCTATTACAACACAGCTAGCAAATCTATGGTTGTGTCGCATCGTCACTTTTTATCGTTCGTAATTAAACCGATTGGGTTGTGCGCAAGCTTTTCTTCAGTCGTACTGCTTTGCATACTTGTACTTCAATTGTTCCCGTGATTTTCAAAAAGAGGCACAACGTGGAACCATTTATTTAGAATCCTTTTGAAGATATCCCGTGCTCGACGGCTGTGTCAGTAACGGATTTGTGTTGTCATTGCCATTGTTGCCGTTATCTCCACTTGGGTCGCCGTCATCACTTCCAACAATCGTCAGGAGCTGAGAGAGCCATTTTTGTACGGTCAGATCGTTGTGCAAGTGGGGTCCAAAGGTACCGTCTTTTAGAGAAGCGGGAAGGCAGGTTTTCAATGCCTCACGAGCTCTCGGGTGGTCCGCTAGTCTCAAATAACATCGCACAACGTGTTTTAACAAACGGACCGAAGGATGGACCTGAAGGAGGTGCACCATGTTGGCCAGAACTGTCGACACCGCATAAAAGCGCTCTGCCGTCGCACACACATAGTTCAGACCAGTTTCCTCCAACAGAATCTTTTGTACAATAAAAGTGGCTACGGTTTTTGAGAGTTCAGAACCAGTTTCCATAATTCGCAAACAGAGAGGGATAATTTCCGTGCTCAGCAAGAAGCTGATAACTTCCGTGTCATCGACCTTTACGAGGGCTCCAATGACACCGAGGCTTGTCAGTCGCAAATACTCAAACGGTCGGGATTTGCTTTGTGTGTTCAAAAATGGATACAAATACAACGGAATTTGTGCCGCTAAAAATGGTTGTCGAGTATCTGCATGAGATGCAACACATTGCAGCAAGGCGAGGGCGTTGCAGACTCGGTTGGATGCATGAGCGGTAAGGGTGGGCGGAGTCAGGAGAGGATAAATTGATACTATCTCTTGCAAAAGTGCCGCTACTGTTCCTGTTGAGTGCCACAGGATAGGAGCCAAATCGGCAAAAGTTTCTCGCTTTTTTGACAATTCCAAAAGGACCACCTCGCGCTATCGATGAATAAAAAATTGTAGGTGTGTCATTCATTCCGCCAATTCGTCATTTACAAAGAAGAGCAAGCAGAAAAGATCAAGTCGCGATATGGGTGTGATATGGTTCCCACACACCCGTCCACAAACATGGATGGAGTTTCAATCAGCATCGGCCGGTGAGTTCGATTGGGAAGAGTCTCAAGAACGTAGAACAAACAGAGAACACGACCGAGAGAACACGACCGAGGACACTGATATATTCGAACGGACGACTTAAATTTCACTATTCTTTTTCCAGAAGCGATAACACCAGAAAAATAACTTACACTTTCCGCATTCGTAAGTTGTAACACTAGCGGCAATAATTCATCCATCCCACCTCCGCCGCTGGCGGAATTTCCCGGACCCGAGGTAAGAGAATGGGAAGAGCTATTCGAAGATGAGGTCAATGCCATACTTTCAAGAATTTCAGAATATTGTGGTATTCTCCCGTAGTTAGACTCTTACATTTACTCGAAAACACTTCCGAGGTTTCGTTGTCGAGAGAATTGTTGGGTGTTCTGCAGAGTTTTTGTTGCTCTAAATGTTCACTGCATCGTTGTTCCAGGACATCGCATGCGAAGCACCGGTCAAAATCAAAAACCTGTTACAGACGAAGTACGAGTACGAGTACAAAGTATGTGAAATTATTCGGTGACCTCCTCGTGCCGTAAGTTGGCTACGGTGCACTGCACTTCACTATCTCTATCTTTACAGTAGTGCTCGTAGCCACTAACTTAAAAGAATTCTTACAGCCCTGGACTTACTACGCGTTTCATAACAATTGAATACGGTCGCAAAAGAGAGCAAAAAGTAATAATTTCAAGTTCT